TTCCCACTCCCCTTTGTGGCATCCGTGGCAGGTGTCCCCTCAGGAGCCACCTTCAAATGCCGCCTTAACACGTCTTCGCCCCGCCTCCTTCCAAACCGTGGCCACCAGGAAGCTGCTGTGTGCAGGGGTGGGTGCCTGGCATGCTGACCGATGTCTCATTTGTTCCTGTGCTCCCCTGTCCAGGTGGGTGTCTCCCGCTGCCGCCTCTCGCCTTAGATGATAAGCCCCTTGGGAAGGCGTTGTCTGTTCGGTTTGTGCAGCGCCTAGCGCCGCAGGGCCGTGGCTGCTGGGAGCGGCCAGAACACAAATAGTGATGCAGTTCAGCAATGCAGGCCTCCCCAAACCGTTCCATGTGGGATGCTCTTGACGTTTGCCAGCGTCACTGCATTTCAATGCCATCAGCATTCCAGAGTGTGTCTGTGTCGCTGCCTCTTTGCCCGGCTAACCTTGCCTCTCTGGTTTCTTCCCCTCCCCCCAGGATTCCACCTGAGCGGGACAGTCACGGAGCCGGCCACGGCCACCGAACCAGAGATGACCTACAAAGTCGCCATCAGCTTCGACCGCTGCAAGATCACTTCCGTGACGTGCGGCTGCGGGAACAAGGACATTTTCTACTGCGCGCACGTGGTGGCCCTGTCGCTGTACCGGATCCGCAAGCCAGAGCAGGTCAAACTCCGTCTTCCCATCTCAGAGACCCTTTTCCAGATGAACAGGGACCAGCTGCAGAAGTTTGTTCAGTATTTAATCACGGAGCACCACACCGAGGTCCTGCCGACGGCCCAGAAGCTGGCCGACGACATCCTCTCCTCCAACTCGGAGATCAACCAAACACACGGTAACGCCCGCGGCGTGTCGGGTGACTTGCGGCGCCACCTGCAGCTCTCACGAGGGCGGGGGCGGCCTTCGTTAGTGCCTGGCCTGTCAGTGCTGCCCAGAGCGAGACAAAGGGGCACGCATGAAATTGACGAGCAGGCACGTGAGTTAGGAACACGTGGGCGTGGGGCACTTTGGATCTGCTTTGCTCTCTGTGGCTGGCTGCGGGTTTTTATTCGTTGACCAGCAGGTCGCGCAGCCAAGGTGCAACTCAGGGCCGCAGACGATGTGCGGTAAATAGCGCAGATCCAAGGGGGCGGAGAGCACTCAAGGCGGGAGAGGGCTGCGTGGGCGTCTCCTGTAAGGAGGCCTGTGGTGTTCTGAGCTGCCTGCTGTCCAGTTGTGGCTGGTGAACCAGAACAGATCTGCAGCGTTATTAGCACGCACGGCACGCCGGAGGCCACCAGCCACGCACAGCCGTCAGTGGAGCTCGATGGAAAATGCATCTGAACAGCAAGGCCTAAGCCAAGGAACCTAGGACAGTCTGCGGCCTGCACCGCAAGGGGATCTGTGTCCAAGGGCCTGACGCCAGAGAGGCCACCCATGGCTGACGCTGGAAGAAATCTGAAGTGGGCTGAGTCTGTTTTCCCACACCCTGCCCGTCCTTGCTAGAACCCAGGCTAGCTTAAGGCAATCTCGCCGCCTGTTCTTGAAGCTGGGTGGTTTACAAATGTCCCCATTTTTGTAAAACTCACCCGCCTCTTTGGGAAGTTGATTCTGTTCCCCTGAAAGTTCCAGCCTGTGGCTACACTTCATCCAGGATGGGCAAAATCTGGGAGCCCCGGGTACGGGGGCCGTGTGTTCTCTGCATGCTGGGGGAGGACGGAGGAGTTCTGCACATTGCACAGCACAATCTCGCGGCTCCCATTGGCCAGAAACCGGCCAATAGGAGCTGCCTGGGCTAAGTCCCTCCCCTGCCCCGGCTCACGACTGCTGGCCCAAAGGCGCCGAGGTGAGCGCCTCCCGGCCGGAGTCTGCCTCTGGCTTCCCAACTGCCCCTTCCTGCACCTCTGCCCCCGGTCACAACCCAGACCCTGCACCTCTGCTCCTATGCCCAGACCCAGACCCTGCGCCCCAAACCCTACGCCCCCTCACCCCCTCCCGGTCACTGCGCCCCAAACCCTACGCCCCCTCACCCCCCCTCCCGGTCACTGCACCCCAAACCCTACGCCCCCTCACCC